ATTCTGACTTCCTCTTATATTCTCAGGTCGGATGCGAGGATCTCTGGCGACCTTGGAAAGGCTGGTTCAGCTCTTTCCTGAAGACATCGGCCTGAAGAACGACCTGGGCGTCGCTTATCTGTTGCTAGGTGACAACAATGGGGCCAAGAAGATCTACGAAGAGGTGCGCGAATGGCAATAGCTTTAGCACACACGCGAGTTATTTCAGTTTTTTGTTTTGGCGGTTCTCGCCTTGTAAAGGTCTCTGATTGGCTCTCTGTTCTCTACGTTCCGTCCACTAAGGTTCTGGGAGTCGCGCCTGACAACGGCTTCGCTAAAGTTCACTACGGATTCATCCTGAAGTCAGAAAACAAGATTGCAGAGAGCATACCGTACCTTAAAGTAAGCACACACATTTTCCTGTTTGTGTGCAAATGTGGGGCCTTCAGCGTGTGTCTCACCAACGTGATGGGGACTGTGTTACACATGGTCAAAGAAACCACATTTACTTTATGAAATACTAGATTTCAAGAAACAAATGGGCAAGAGAAAACTGTTTTCTGTTCTGAATGTAAACTTTAAAATATACACAGTCTGCCTTCCCTTGTTTCCTGTCATATATCTCCTGTTTCAAAGTTGGATGTCCACACTAAACATAGCCAAACTTTAAAGGACAGGATGTCCTAAATATGGCCATCGAAGCCTCAACCACGTAGAAATGTGAATCGTGCAGAATTTGAACGTCACTCCCACGTTTCCCCTTCTCTCTCTCCAGGAGGGCTTGGAGTCAGGTGAGCCGGGAACCGACGACGGGCGCTTTTATTTCCACCTCGGAGACGCTCTGCAGAGGGTCGGAGACAACAGCGTGAGTAACACCTGCCTTTACAGGCCAGTTATAGCTCAGAAAATCACATCAAACCTCACAGGGACGCCACTGCAGCCGTGTTAATGACACAAGTGTGCGATCGCATCTTCACACCCGACTTTGTGAACACAGTAACCAGAGGCCTTCATGTTATTAGTATCACGATGTCATGATGTTATTGCTCTTGTTGTTCAGGGTGCAGCACACAGTGAGAACGTGGTCTCTGTTTCTGGGCCAACACATTTGTCAGTGACGTAGCTGAGCTAACGTGGCCCAGATGAAGACTC